TTATCAGCAAAGCAGAAAACTGGTCTCTTCTAACTCTCTCATGTTTGCTCTCTCATGCTTTGTTTCTTTGCCTTTCCCCTTACCATTCCCTTCTAGCCATCCATCACCATTGCCTGTTTCTTTTTCATTGTGATAAAATGCAAATGACCAGATTCCACAGCTTAACTGTTTTTTAAATTTTATTGGTACATTTTACATATGCATAATGATCACACTAATCATAGGGAATTTGTACCCATAAATGATATATCTTGCTTTTTTTTCCCCATTCCCCTCCCCTCCCTTCAACCTCTCTTTCTCTCCTTATTTATAAAAGTTTTGTTTCCATTTTTTGCTTCTATTCTCTCTTTTTGTCCCTTTCTTGCTTTCCGCCTTCCTCCTTCCTTTTTTTCCCCTTCACATTTGAACATTTTTTCCCATTTCCCAAATATCTATTATACATTTTGCCTCTCATTTATACTTTCAGTTTCTCATGAATTTCTTCAGGTGTTCTTTGCCATGGAAGTATCTTATTTCTCCATCATTTTGAAAGATAGTTTTGTGGGGTACATCAGTATGGACTTGAGGTTGTCTTTTAGGGCTTAAAATATTTCACTCCAGGCTCTCTTTGACTTGAGGGTTTGTATTGAGATGTCTGCTGTAGTTCTGATGAGCTTTCCTTTATAAAAGATTTTTTTTTCCCTCTAACAGCTTTTAATATTCTGTTCTTGTATTAAATTTCTGGAATCTTGACTATTATATGCCTTGGTATAGATGATTTTTCCATCGTGGCTAATCAGAGTTCTGTATGCCTCACTTATTTGTATGTCAAATTCTTTTTCCATGCTTTGGAAGTTTTCTGCCATTGCTTCTGTGATCAGGTTCTTTTCTTATGTTGTTTATGCTGTCTCTTGCTTCTTCACTGACTCTGATCGATCTTATTTTATTTGTATCATCTAGCAACTGTTGTACTGATTTTTTTCATGGTCACTTGCTAATTTTAAAATATCTTTCTTTTCATGATTGCTAACTGCAATCCTGTCTTCTATCTGATATACTCATATTGGCTCATTTTAATACAAATACTCTCAATGGACTTTTTAATATGGATATCTGGATCTGTTTCATGGAATCTATTTCTTTCCTGTGGTGGGCATTCATGGTTTCCATTATTTTCCTAAGCTCCTGTGGTTTTTTTTATCTGTATCTTCTCTAGTCACTTACCATGTCCTTCATTATGGTTACGATCTCTGTAGTTATCTGAGAAATTATTTCTGGTTTGATTTTTTTTTTTAGAGCCTAGTTTATCTGCTTTGTTACTTCTACTGTTAGCACTTCAGAGAGTCCAGCTGGGTGGCTTTGGGACTGTTCCACCTCATTTCCCCCTGGGTTTGCCTCTGGTGAGCTGGACATCTTCAGATGCATCTTGCTTCCATGCCTTCATATTTTCTTTCTTGCTCTTTTTTTTAGTTTAATTTCTGGGTTGATGCTTGTAAATTGCCTATGGCAGGTTGCTTTGTTGCTAGTATTGAGAACCCTTAGGAAATGGCTACTTCTGGAGATGTTTTCCAGGTATAGCTGGCTGTTTGGTTTTGAGTCTGTTGCACAATCCTACCTCTTCAATTTATTAGGGATTAGAAGTTGCTACCTATTTGGCCTCACTCCTAGTTCTTTGGCACTGGCCTATAGTATCATTTATTACCCTCAGACAATCTCAGTCTTGGCATACTAGGAAAAACAAGTGATTAAAACAATTATGTCACCTTGGCTACAGTAATAAAATCAGTGATAACAATAGCACCAGACACAGCCTAGAAAATTACAGACTATGGTAACTATTAATTTTCCATGTTTAACCATATAAACTATATTTGTGCTTATATAACAAAACCTAAAAGAAACCAAAAAGTTGTATACAATAAATATGCCCTTAATAGGGTGATTTTACCCTCAGGGGAGAAAATGTAAAAGGGGTTAAGGGGAAAAATAGAGATATAGAAGAACTGAAGAGATTAAAAGCAAGGGTGGAGGACAAGAGAAAACTATGTGAACTTTGGAAAACTGGTAAAGAAGATAGGGAGGAAAAGAAGGAAGAACAGAACAACAACAAAAAAAAGTAGAAATAATGTTCACACTCATATTGAAACAAGAACAAACAAGAAAAAACAAAAA